TGAACGTTCTGATCAAAGAACCTATAAAAGAATCTTGATCAGAAGGGGGTGAAATGCGGAATAGAATTTCAAATTCTCATGGAATTCAGATTTTCTAGAGCCACTGAGGCTGGATGAACCCCTGAAACTACTGCCCTGAAATAATCTTTAAATCTTAAACCAAAGATATCCCACGAAGTCTTCTTAAAGCCACACAATACTTTGCTTAACTGGTAAAGAATGTCTGCCTTGAGCATTATGCTCTTTTAACATCTATCTATGTGGGATCAAAGTGACAACAGCAGCTCAAAAGATTAGACAGGAAACTTACAGGGCAGTGAGTTTATGTTAATGCAAGAGGAACAACTCAGAAAAGGAGGGTTAGAATGGCTGCACAACTCGAAGAATGTCATCAACGCCACTGAGTTGTACATGTAGAAACGGTTGAATTGGTGTATGTTTTGCTGTGTATATTCTCAACAACAATTAAAAAAAAAAGCATAGACTATTATTTAAAGTTGCAAAGGTTACAAAATATAGAGAAACCAAATAAAGTGATATAACCAAATGGCAGTGGGGAAGTGGCAGGGTAGTTAGTGACACACCTTCAAATTCACTTTAGAATTCACTAATTTAAATATCAGCTATTCATTTAAACTACCACAGAACAAGTCTCTTTGCTATCAGAGATCCACTGAGCTTCTCCACTTCTTTGAACAGAAGTTACTAACAGGAACTCCGTTTTGGTTTGTATCATAGCAGAAAATCCACAGATAACTCAACAAGTAGCATAAATACAGTATTTACAGAAATGGAGATACTCACTAGAAGAATTAGAAACATAACAGTTAAAATAGGTTCCCGTTAGGAGCAGAGCTTCATCTGGGGAGGAGTGGGGCCAAGGATGTTGTTATTCATTGTAAGGCCGCTGTATGATTTGCTTTTTTTGACCATGGCATATACTAATTGGGTAAAAATAAAGATACTTATTTTTAAAAATTAACACTGAAAGTAGACAGATTTAAAAATGTGTTTTCTTAAAGCTCTTTCAAATGGCTTTTCTTTAATTTTCAAATGGCAAAGCAGTATGACAAAAAGAAAAATATACAGAACGTCACTGAGTGACCGATAGGCGTTCTCCTGGCTGCACACTGACTCATGCTGGGCTTCTATGAAGCTGTCTTCTGCTTTACCTGCTGAGAGAGACGCACGCAGCAAGGCAGCCTCACGGGCCCCAGGCAGGAACCGGGCCACTGAGAACACAAAAGCTGGTACTCTTCTCTTACAATTTTCGTCACTCGGCTTAGTGTTCCTGTTGATTACTTAGAGGCTTTCTGGCCCGAGTAACCGTGTTTGCACATTATATTTAATCATTTTTTCCTGTCTTTATTTTTTAAACACTGGCCTAAAGTATTTACCTGCTGACGTCTCTCTGCTCACATGCCCTCATCAACCCAATAAAAAGTATTAACGTGTATTTATGGGAGGACGAAGAATCTGGCCAGTGTAGAAAGGTAAAGAGTTTTTTAAGGAACAAACCAAAGAGGCCACGTAGGATCAGCTGTGTCTACAGAGGACAGTAAAATGACCAAAATGAACGTCACTACCTAGGAGCCAATTTTGTTATTTTAATTTCCGCTGTTTATGCAAGAGACCAACTGAACAACAGCCAGTAAGAGTAACTGT